CGGCCGGGCGCGGGCGGCGCGGGCCCGCGCGCGCCACCCCTTGGGCGTGGCTTGGTGGGTGGGTCACAAATGGGGGGGTCAGGAAAGGTCCCCTTTCGTGCCCCTTTCGGGCCCCTCCAGAGCCCCAGGGGGCTCGTTTAGGTACCGTTTGGGTACCTTTTCGGACCGCGCTCGCCACCCCACCCATTTATGACCCCCCCATTACGCAGCGCCCAAACCCCATTGAAAGGGGGCAGGGCCGGGAGGATGCACGCGGGCGGCGCGCAGGAGCGAGGGGGCAATGAAAGGGGGGGGGCTGGGGTTCTGCGGCGAGAACTTGAATGCCGGCGGCCGCAAAGACTTATCCGGCGGCTTTGCGTGGGCGCGCGCAACAACATGGGAATGGGCAGGGGCCCGCGTCCGCAGGGCAACTGTCGGCTGCCCAGAGAGCGCTCGTCGAATTGCTCGCGCTGCGCGCGAATCCAATCGCGGCGCCGCGCCATCCAGTCCACGACGGTAGCGCGCAGTCGACCCCCATTGCGCACGCAGCGCAGACCACGTCGCCACGCGCGCGCGCCTCTCCCATTGCGCGATAGCGCGCGCTGCCGCCACCAAGTGCGGCGGAGCAATCAATGGCGGCGCCGCGCGGCGAAGCGCGCCCCAACCGCGCGCGCCCCATCTTGGTCGAGGGTGCGTGTGTGCAACTGGCCAAAAGGCCGGTTCTTGAGCGGCGCGTTGATCGCCGGCGCCTCGCGGCGATGCCCAGGGGAAACAGAGAGGCGCGCTCGGGCTCGCCTCGCCCGCTCCGTAGTTTCAGGATGCCCCTGCGGGCAGTTTGGGCGACTCGCGCGGCCGGCGCGCACTGCGGCTCCGACGCGCGCATCGCGGGCGTCGGCTCAAACCAGCCGCCGCCGACCATCTGGTGCAGTTTCGCGGCCCAGGGCCCCGAGCAGCCCATCGGCCCCACTTGAATTGTTCCAAGCCCTTCGTAGAATCCCCCGTTTGGAATGTCAAGATTGGGGCAGCCGGGCCACGTCAAATGTCAGAAAATTCCCCATCGCGGACGCGGGGGCCGAATGCCTAGAGATCACCGCTCGCAGCGCGGCAGCTGGAGCTGCAGTCCGACCTGTCGCGACTACGGTCGCGCCCGGGACAGGCCTCAACGTCGCCTGTGAACTGCCCTACGCCGACGCGCTCGGCTCTAGCCGATTTGCATGCTGCGCTGCCCCTCGGCAAAACTTGCCGAGCGCAGTCTCCGCGTGGCCCGGGCTTCCTCGCCAATTTGTTCGTCGACGTCGGCGCGCCCTGGGTTTGCCCCCCAGCAACTCACGAGAGCTGCGCCTCTGACGGCCTCAGAGTTCACACTTGTACCCCTGGGCGCTGCCCTCCCCCATCGCATCAGTTGGGGCCGTTCGGATGCTCAAGGCGATTGTTTCCATATTGCATTGATCCTTCGGGCGCCCCTGGGAATTGGGGGGGGGCGGCGATGAATTTCTGAGCGCCGCCCAGCAGGGCCCAAGAAGGGCTCGCGCTGAAATCAAGACGGCCGTCGAACGCGCGCGAGTGGTGGAGCGACCGACGCGGCTCAACGACTAGGAACACATGGCTGGGAAGGCTTAGCAGGACACCCCAATGATCGAGGCCGCCGCCCAGCCGCCATCATGTTCGCGCGATGGGTGCGCTGTCAAACTTTGAAAGTGGCCTTGCGTCCCGAACACAACCCCAGGACGGCCGAAAAGATATCCCAAATGGCCTTACAGCGCCCCAAGATGGCCCAAAGACGGCCCAGAAGGGGCCCTCAAGACGGCCTGGGCCACGCGGGCGAAAAAAAAACCTTGCAACGGCCCCAGAAGCACCCCAGAGGCAAAGAGGGCCCTTGTGTCCGCGAGGCCACCATGGGCCCCCAAAAACCTTCGTGGAGGTCCCAAGATGGCCCGACGAACCTGCCGCTCCTCCTGATCTCTCGATTCCTCCCCCAAGTGTTGCATAAATGGCTCCAGCAACGGCGGGGGGGAGTACATGACCCAATAGCTTGACAAGAATTCGGGCCAACGGTGGCCCGCAGAGGCGTTCCCAAAAGGCAGCGGGCAGCGGTGGTTAGCCGTATGCGTGTTCGACAACTCTCGTTGCGCCTCAAGGAGGGCCGGGCGCTTCGCCTGCGAGCCCCTCGCCGCTTGTGGTCCTGAAACTGGAAACTTCCACTAGTTCTGTGGATGGAGGGCGCGCCGTTGTCAAAATGCGGCCCTCGCCTGAACGCCTCCCCGGATCTCACAAGCCTTCTGGGCATGAGTCGTTCAGCTAGGTTCCTCTTCAAGATTCCCCCTTCCCCTTCGGGGAAGGGCTTGCCCCTCCCCCTCCCCCCCTCCCCCTGGATGGGGGGGGGTCGCGAGCAGTTAGAGCGTCCAATATGGCCTCGACGAGGAAACACAAATCACTGATTTCACCTAGGATTTTGGCCGCAGTTTGGCCTCTTTGGGCGGGGGGGGCGTGATTTACTACGGCCCATCCTTTGATGGATCTCCTCCAAGCTGGCCCCCGGATGGCCCCCGAGGCTAGCACGGGCGTCCCAAGACGGCCCCAGCGGTGCCCAGGAGGCACCAAACGACCACAATATGCTCCCAAGAAGCCCCCAAGAGGCTCCCAATAGACCCAAGAGGCGCCAACAAGAGGCTCCTCTGAGGCACCCAGGACGCCCGAAACGGCCCCCGGGACTGCCAAGAGACCCCCAAGACGCCTAACAGAACTCCGACAAGCTCTCGAAAAATATCATCCGAGAGGCATCCAAGAAACATCTGGCCCGTCTGTTCGCAAACCTCCTCTTGCTTTTCCTCCTCCTCCTCCTCCTCCTCCTCCTCCTCCTCCTCCTCCTCCTCCGCCCCCGTCTCCGCCTCCTCATCATCCTCCTCGCACGTACCCAGAAGCGCAGCGAGCATTCACGGGTCCTTAGTCATTTAGCTGCTGGAAAAGCTGTGCTCTGGCAGCACGGGCACATTCCTCGGGCTTCCACCCTTGTCGTCGATGATTGTACACATAGAGGGCCAGAACCACCATCTGTCCTCCTCCTCCTCCGCCTCCTCCTCCTCCTCCTCCTCTTCCTCCTCCTCCTCCTCTTCCTCCTCCTCCTCCTCCTACTCCTCCGCCTCATCCTCCTCCTCAACAGTTACAATATGAATACTAGTCTCCTCTCCCCTGAGCCTGTGCGGAAGATGGCCGGCACCCTTCCGCGTACAATCCGATGTTTTAAAGTTTTAATTTACTCCCGTTGCAGCGTTGGCCTCATTTTCGGGCTCCCGCTCGTTCCGAATCGTGCTCCCGCTGCAGCGCTGCCCTCATTTCCGTGCTTCCGCTGTTTTTTTCCGAATCGTGTTCCCGCTGCGGTGCTGACCTCATTTCCGCGCTTCCGCTCATTCCGGATCGTGGAATCATGCTCCCGCTGAAGCGTTGGCCTCACTTCCGCTGCGAGATGCCATCCCTTCAGCTGCATTGCTCTGATATTTAATGCTTGACCACGCAGTGCCAGGCCATGCTACGTCATGCTACGCGTTGATCTTGAACGCCACGGTATGCCATGTAATGCCATGCTGCGACATCCGACTGCGCGAATACAGTAGAGATCTACGCCATGGTATTGGATGGGAGGGAGGGGTAGGACGTCAGATAAGACGCTTGCGCACCTAGCTTGTCTCCACCACCCTCCCCCTATCCCTCCTCCTTCTCCTCCTGCTCATCCTCCGATTCCTCCTCCATCCTCTCCCTCTTGGGGTACGGCGTCTCACCGGGTCTTTTATTCCAACGCATGCTCTTCCAAATTCTTGATCAGGGCAACTCGTCTGGACATCGTTTCTGGATGGGCAGGTGGTGCTACTTTTTTGTCGAAGCCGCAAGCGAAGGCGCAGGCGGCGTCAAACGGGACGGGCGGGCCACGCGCGAACCTAATTGCCTAGCGCGCTGGCAAAACGGAGGCCTAAGCGGCACCTCGGCGGACCGGAAGCGAGAGGTGGTGCGGGCTGCAGCTGCCAAGAAACACGTCCAGGAGCGAGCGCATGCATAATTAGCCAACCGGGGTTGGGGCGCAGCCAAAATGGCGCGGGGGCGATACCAGGATGAGCCAGGGGCACCATCACGAAGGACCGCAGACACAAGCTGGGCCAGGAGAATTCACTGACCAGGCAACACAGCAGGTGGTGTCACGCGAAGCGTCTAGAATTTCCTTCAACGAAAATCAACAATTTCACGGATGGAAGACGAAGTATTAAGCTGTGATTATTGCCTTAGCGCCGCGCACCCGCGTCTGAAAAGTCTTCCAACACAACATGTCTCTCGGCTCTCGCCACAATTGCACGGAAATGGGACGGACCTTTCTCTAAACTTTGGCTTGAGTTGGCCATGTTTACACCCGCGAACCAAATTTGTGCAACGGCTGTACAGACAGAGCGCGGCACCCTTTTCGAATTGCGACTGTCGTTTGAAACTTTATCATGATGAGTGAGCAGACGTATCAACCCGTGCAGCACCTTCACGGACGAAGGGCGGCTCACTTTTCAAAGCGGAGCTCTCGTTGGGCAGATTCTGAAACTCCATGGTCTATGATCCTGCCTCGTGGCATCCCTTATAGCTAGAGGGATGGAGGCGGCTGTTGCAAAACAGTGCTCTCGCCTGGCTGACAGCACATGGGGCGTTCGTCTTTTGAGTGGAGTGGGATGACTGCGTTTAGGAACCCATGAAGAAGTCGGGACCGGACGAAATGTTCGATGCATCATGGCTTTGCGCTGATCCTCCTCATCATCACCCTCTGAAGATCAAGATCATCTCCCAGGGCCCGCGAATCCAGGAGAGGTGCCATTGCGCCGAGGTCACTCGAGTCACTGGAGAAGCTTTCCAGAACGCCACGGAACGGATCTGCCTGGAGCTTCCCACCCCCCTCCTGCTCCCGACTTCGAGCGCCCGACTATACTAATCACGTGATCCTCGCGGCGTCATCGCCAGCAGGCGGGCTGGCCAAAGGCAGCGGAGCGGCGGACCACGCCATCACGGACATGCACGCGCGGCGGAACTGGGAGGCCTCCGCGAAGGTCACCAAAGCCTCCCGCTCGACATCATATCCAACAATGCAGAGAACGGTGGGTCTGGGGGATACCGACGGGCGGGCCAGACATCCAGGCGATGTGAGACAACATGATGGTTATATTTCAACGGTTTGGCCTCTGGGGACCCTCCACGGGTCTCTTGTAAGTGCCCTCTACTGAAAAAACGGTTTTCATAGATGCGGTCCAGATCTCCTGGGGCCAACGTCGCGAAACGTCACAACAATGGAGGTCTGGCGCGGATGGGAGGGCGAATCGGTAAGAGGAGCGAAGGGGGAGGGATTCCAGTCCCCCGCCTCTTTTTCATAACAGTAATAAAGTGCCGCTACAGGCCTCAGTGTTGATAGAGTTCTGTGGCCACCGATTCTTGAACAATCGCGTGGCGTTGCAATTTCGATCTTGCGCCGTCCTCATGATTCCCCTCTTCGCTCCCGGCTGCTTCCGGAGAACCGCCTAGAGATGACTACCCAACGTGTGGCTGGGATGCCCCCGACACTTTTGTGAGGTGTAGCGACGCTGTACTTATGACCAGTAATTTGAAACATTGGACTCACAAAATGGATTGTTTCGACTTCCCCGCACTTGCAACACATTGTACGACAAACTGCAAAACAACGCATCCGTGAATGGTTCCGTATATTTCCTTGCCCCAGATCAGCCTTGACGTTCCCCCGCAGAGGAAGCCTTGGTCGTCGAAGGTATTGCATGTAACATCATCGTGCATTGTCCTCCTCCTCCTCCTTGTCGTGCTCATTCCCGCCCTGTGCCTCCACCCGCTCCTCCTTCCTCGTTCTCTTGTTCGTCATCGGCCGAATTAGTTTCTCACCCGCATTGCCCTACGCATCGCTGCTCCTCGCCCGCTCGTTCCTCCTCCCACCCACCTCCAAACGTCCGTTTCTCATCCCTCCTGCCTCGTACCTGCGAGACGCCGCACAAGAACCTGAAGACGCGTCGCAAGTACTGGTGTCCCGTGCCAATGTTCCTGGTCCACCTCCCGCTCCTCTTGCTCCTCCTGCTGCTGCTCCTCCTCCTCCTCCTCCTCCCCCTCCACCACCTCCTGCTGCTCATCGTGTCCAGATTGGCCCTCGTACCACTATCCATCCTGCCCCTCTCCGTCCAAATCCCTCTCCGTGCTAGGCCAACGCAAGAGAAGTCCCAGAACCCCCTTGAACCTCCTCAGGTCGCGAGAAGTCCTCCTGCTGCTCC